TGCTATCTCAAGATTTCGCCATCTGTCAGCTGGTGTTGCGGATTTTTTTCCACTCGTATTAGACAATGGACAATGGATTGTCTTTTCAACTTTAAATACAGACAAAATCCTGAAGTGACGCGGGCTCATTACTCATCCAAATCAGGCCCCACCGTGTGCCAATGTCGAGCACAACTGCCATCTTTGGCGAAGTCAACTCGATGGGGCGCACACACATCGCATTACATCACGCAAAAGCGTCCATTCCACCTTCTAGTTGAGCACGTGCGACAGAGCCAACGTAATTTAATGTCAGCACAGAGTTAATTCAGGCTGATCTCTGCAGATTTCGGGTGAGCGTGTAGCCGTGCAGGTGGTTTTTACTCCTCGATATTAAACCAGTGCAAATTCTCACCAGAATCCTAGTCCAATTAGCCTACTCCTGCTAAAAGCTTTCGCACTTTTTCAACGACTGCCTATTCGTGTTAGATTTGCCAATGAAAATAATATGCCGTTAGCATTATGAATACCAAATTTATGCAAAATCATCCTAATGCCGTCTACCGCTGACAGCCAGGCTGACCTTGAAGTGAAACGCTAGCTATGTTTGCCTTAGTGCAGGAGGGTGTTTGCAAGGATTGCAAATTAGGCCATTGTTAATTCGGCTTTGTCCGATAAGTTAGGCGCCTGGTTTGTCGGTACATTTACACACAACTAGGGTATGGGAACATCACGTAACTTGATGACAGCAGTTTTAGAAATTTAGTGAGTTGTGGAGGTAAGATTTTAAAATCGTGATTACTGCGTGCTGAGGATTCACTAAATCACCCCCTACAACATACACCAGTTAGACTGATTCATCCGTCGCTGTGCTTTAAAATAACGAAACTCCTATAAACCATTATTGTTCACACCCCTCATTGTAAGGAACTTCAAGCGAAACGAAGGAGGCGTAGTAAAATTTTCGTGTCTGTGAATCCACCCCTCACGATTCCCCTCTTACCATCAATCCGGATTCTGTAGATCCTCAAAAAATATCCATTTCTGGGTTGCCTTATCTCTTCACTGTGTGATGGTTTCGTTTTCGTAGTGTGGGAGGGATTCGTGTTACATTTACTCTAGGTCAGCTGTTTCGCGGCTCACATCATTATCTACCGCCTAACAACTTGCGAGTACTTTCTCCCAATTTTTGTTCAAATGCGCTAATTAAAGTCTATTCTTTGTCTTCTACTTCGAGCTGTCAAGAGACTGCCTAGTCGAGAAGACATAAAATGCATGTTTAAGTTACTCTCTCTGCAAATTTTGTTCCGAGTTGTGCCAATTTGTAATAATCGATCCAACCAGCGGTGTGCCATGCGTTCACACCGCTGCAGCCACCTGAATGGCGCGTTTTAGCAGATGACGGTGCATACTGTGACTGCACATCACGTGACCACAGAGGTCAGTGTGTATTTTAAGCTGCGAAAGTTCACGCAAATTTTGCATGCAGAATTAGTGGGTCTGGATTATGCGAGGACCTGGTGTACTACACAAATGAAATGATATAAATCACCTCTGTTTTTAATGTATCTTCCTCGCATTGTGATCTCAGGGTTAAATTCAATAGAAGACGTTGAGCGTCTATCCTGCACCACGAGCACTTAACACAGCCAGGTTAGTAATGTTATTCCGACTGCATCAGAACCACGAAAATTGCTTTCTGGTGAATATTCTGTCTTCCGAGTGCTGTGTTTCTAAGTGACCACCTAAACAGCCTTGAATGACATGGCTTCTTCATGTTTAATTCATCGTAGCATTTTCATTCCACAAAACCAAGTGAATTGTGATTACTCAAACCAAAACCGTAATCAGGATTCACATACTCAGGTAATTGGTACCCCAGATCGCATGTCTAGCGCTAGATCCCACCTTCCTAGCCCAGCACAAGGCAAAACAAAAACTCCTGCTGAGGGCTATTACTGTCTCAGTCAAAGACGAGTGATCTGTCAGAATGTGGTCACTTCTTAAAGTCACGTGCGACCTTGACCTAAAGGATGAATGCAGATTAACATCGAGTTAGTTGTCAGGACGGTGACGTGGGTGACTCACCCACCTAAATGACGCGGCAGAGGGATTGCGTTGATAATGGCGAAATCCTAACTCGCGATTAGCCGTCTTGCGGAATGCTGGATTCCCAACAGATAGTTACCGGATAGGCTAGCTCAACAACTAGATCTAATCAAAATGAATTTTGACGAAGTGAATGTAATTTTTTCATCGATTGAACCTGAAATTGTCTACGGACTCCTTCATAAATCCTGATCGCTCCGTGTCTACTTTGGTCATCAGTTCCGATGCAATTTGAGAACCACATTGGAACTTCTACACTGTATTAATGTCCACAAATTTCATTGTGCACAGTTCAACTAAATATTCACGCAAACAACACACAAGTAGCAACAATTTCCCTATTCGAGATTGTGAGAAGATTCTCACACTACCAGAATTGTGGCGAAGTGGAAGCAATATTTTACCGAGTTCGTGCCGTTTACATGTCAAAAAAATTCAATTTATTAGCATTTTATTTTCCCTCAATTATGGGACTCAAATTTCGGAGTGTTTCCATTAACGCTTGTTAAAAGACGCATTGAAAGTCCGGGTGTAGGAAGAAGGAAGACCATTAATTGGGGTGGTGAATCTAGTGGTTGTGAGTCATGGGCGTTTACGAGAGGAGACGAACCCCTGGTCTTATGTCACCGATGTGATTCCATGGCTGATTTTGGGGGTGGAGGCATATGGTGACAGGGTCCACAATTAAAATCAGAGTTCAGCAGGGATGGCACGAACAAATAAGATAAGCACAGATTCCGGACGTGCCTGAGGCCTGATGAAGTCCGTTAGTTAACAAGATCGTTTTCTAGTGCTGCGGTTATCTAGTTGAAAGCCCAAGCTAAGTTCAGACCTATTAGTGGTAGGTAAGGCAAACCCTCTTTCATCCCAACTGATGAGTGAGTAACCTCCGCTGGTAGATAATGTAAGCGACTTGAAACGAGTGACAAGAATGTGTATAACAAACGATTCACAGGTGAATTAGAAGTGGTTAGCTAAGTAGGGACTAATAACATTCACGCTTTTAGTAAATGAGTTCGTTGAAGAATCCGACTAGCAAGAAATTTCTCGTGTCGTACTTTGTTGTGAACGAGGGTTAGTGAAGCTCATCCACGAGTTGATCGGATGTCACTGATCATTGATTATAGTTGATAATCGATATTGAAAAGGCACTTGGGTGGTCAATTAATTCATTCACTGTTGTTCTAGCAAGGGACAAACTAGCATGGCTGTAATTTAGTACACGCAACTTACGACAGCTTAATACGATGGTGTAGTGCAAGTAGCTTTTTGTTATACGTCCTCTGTTGACTTAATGAGTGCAAGATTGCCAAATAGGTAATAGTTTACTGAGATTACTAGCTTAGTAGTGTTATTACACCGTCAGGCCCAGATTCTCTTGCCCTAATTTGCTTCATCAAACAACTGAGAATATCACAATATTAAAAGTGCAACTGAGTTCGGTTGCTTCAATGTGAGTTGATCACATGAAACAGCTCGATGGCTAAGAACTGGGTGAAAAGAAATCCGGCGATTTGCTGATGCGTTGTGTGAATTTTGTAGATTAAACACACAATCTCGTTTAAACAGAGAGGTTTTTTGTTTAAAACCGACTATTCCAGGGAATATTTCTGGCTGCGTCTCCATTGAACAAGACAGATGCACCTGGTTTTTTAGGTATTTTATGGCAGAAAAATAAAGTGACTGTTGACGATCGTCTTTATCTTTTTGCCAAAAGCGAGCAGACTGACACAGTTGAGGCAGTGGGTAGGATATCATTCTCTTACAACTGAAATAGTCATAGCGGCGCCTACTTTACTTTTCAGAAGATGCATTCAAGTCTCTCTCTCAATTCCGACATATCAAATACTCCCAACGGACATAATCTCTAGCTTCATCATAAATATTATAATCAAATTTTGGACAATTAGCACGTTACCGCGACACCGACGCCTGCTTCTGTTTAACTGTCACGCAAGCATTTTACGTGTACCAGTGTGCTGAATTGGCTCAGGTCATCAAGATTACAAGTCGATGGAAAAGTGATAACCAATGAGTTGGTGGAGATTGGATCAAACAGGACAGAATCGGCATTGTGTGAAGAATAATGCCCGCGCCTACCTAGCAGCAGTTACAAGTATCAAACAGACATAATTAGATAACACACAGCCACAGTTGGATGTCCATTTCGCAAGCTCTTCACGATAAACATTACGATGCTACTGATGAACGGACAGTACCAAGTGTTAAGTAGTTGAGCCGAGATTTGTGTAACTGTCGAAGTAAAGAGCGATATTCCTTTAAAATCAAAGGATACATAAGGATTTCGAAGACCAAAGTGGCAGCATGATCTGACGGAAAATCGCTTTAAGGTCTGAAGATGATATCATAGCCCACGTCACCTCCCGGCACACCTTCCAACACATTGTTCTAACGCACACCTCAACGCACTGGCTTTTGTTTGTTCACTAGATACTGTAGCCAACCAGAATTTAAATGTGGTTGGTGTTACTGCAAGAGAATGTGAAGACGTGATTCAGAGCACTTGTGTAGAACACAGCAAATTAAAAATTGATAAGGGGCAGGCATTCACGATGATTTCCGCTAAGACATCGTAGCTAAGTGAGGCGAAAATATCTAGTTTTTGCACAGTCCAGTACAAATTATATCTAGTTCAAATCTTTTCTATTACAATGCACGCTAAGACAATGGATGTGCAATGAATGGCAACAAATTGCTTTCTCTTAGTCACAGTTAGCACGTTGGTTTTGGCAAAATATGAGCTTCTGCCAGAATCCACGGTGAACAATCACTGCACCCGCTAGTGCTTAAGAACAGAAAAAGAAATGCAACGCATTCAGGGATGAGTGGTAATGCATTTGTAAGCAAAGCAAACACTTGAGAATATGCCGGAAGAAATCTCGCAGCGACACTTAGAAGCTCACACGTCCGGTCTGCTTGGAGTAGACTACTTTTCCCTTTTTAATGACGTACTCAATCAGCTCCTGTGATTCGCCCAACCTGAATATGATATTTTCCCACCTAAAATAAAGACCAAACCAACGTAACTCGCTTATTCCACCACAAATACCACTGCATTCAGTGTGATAATGAAAGAAATCTGAGCAATACTCTTGTATGATTGCAGCTTTAATAATCCTATGAGCAAGGAACAAGTCGGCATGTGTATTTGTTCGCCGCTTTACTTCTTAACGGTTAACCAGGTGCAGATGTAAGCAACGGTTGCCAAACTTTCTGTGAATTTAAAAATTGGCATGTGATTCTGCGAACTCAGAGCACTTAATGGCCTCAACCACAAATTCACCTTGGACGCGGTCTTACTTCGAGTGTTTGCAAACTAAACTCGGTGTGAACATCGTCTAGGTCACCTGTTGAAGACGAGGAAAGCGTGGATGCAACTCACCTCTTGGTGTTGATGACGACAAAATCACCTTGTCGGCCTTCCGTGATCGCGCCGAGTTTGTGGGAGAGGTTGATGCTGTAGGCTGCATTGATTGTGGCCGCGGTGAGGGCTTGTTCCAGTGTTAGCCCCAAGGTCGTACAGGCCAGGTACATGACGATTGGCTAGAAACAGAGAAAGGAGCCCTATTTGATGCACTTCATGCGATTACTTCCACATGTTGAAGTGTGGACTCGGTGAGTACTTATCTAGCGAAATTCCCGGGGCCAGGTTTCCATGGCATTACACTGGCAATTCGTAATGAAAACAAGACTATTCCCGTTGTTTTCGACCTCAATTTTTAACCTTTCTAAACGGAAGTGTGCTGATGAAGGAAGAAATGTAATCCGGGGTTAAATTAAATTAAAACGCGCACAATCATTTGGCTGTGATTCTTTAACTAAACACAACGGATCTCATCGACTGTCAATGAAAGCACAACTCACGTCTGACATGTCTCCTTTTTACTAAAAGTACACTCGAGGATATCATTGGGCTAAGAAGGCAGACAGCCCACCTTTCAGAAGACAGTGCAAATTGCGTCATCTAATTGTGGAAGTCGAAGCGACGAAAAATCTGCGTAGTTTATAGAACCGAATTTCTAGTGGTTTTAAAAAGATTTCTTGTGCGGTTTTGTGGATTTGTACACTTTTCAGATCAGTCACATGAAGCTGTAAATCAAGTCGGGTCATTAAAAATGCTTCCTACACAATAGCCAGGGAGTGTGTTGGCATAAACCATGATATTGAATCTGAAATGATAGTTTAACAAAAATTTAAAAAAAACAGGAAAAATTTAAGTAAATTACATTGGTTTCTGGTGCGAAATTGAGGATTAACGGTGGGAGAAAATTCGTTTTTTAAAAGGTAAAAAATAAATCGAGCACCTTAAGTTGAAGTGATTGCTGCAGATACTAGTATTCCTTTAAGACTGTTCTTTGTCTGGTTGAAATGTCGCCCTTCTTAACTGAAATTCCTAAACATTTAGTCATCGCAGCTCTGCTGCCCCCTCGCTGACAACTCTCATTTGTTTTAATTCACTTTGATCTACAGCATCAAGGTCATTCACGACAGACACTAGGCGTTCATTCCGACATATCGCTCGGTCCTTAGCTGTCACGGTAAAAGCTCTCTACACGAGGTCCTGTGTCTGTTCACTGGAGATTTGAAGCCGACTTTTAAGAAAATGAACACACATTTAACTGTCGCAGGTACTGGATGGTTTGTACGTTTTTTCAAGGCAGATTTAAAACTGGCACCAATGTCTCTCTGCTTGAACTCTCGTGTTGGTACTTAGCATGGAATGGGTTGAGTATCCAATGACGAAGTGTAATCCGAGTTGTGTAAACTTCACTTCCTTAGGTCGTAATTCCAAAATTAGAAACAAAATTTCAGCAAAAAAGACAAACGTTTAGTATAGGCAACACGGAGACTTAATTATCATTTACAATTAAATGAAATTTCGGAAAAAAGCAGCGAGGCAAATTAGTTGAGTTTTAATTTTCAGGATAAATATTTTAACGACATGTGACACTTTGGGTGCTAAGGCAACCAGCTTAGTACAGTTATCAGCAAAAATCACATTTGCAAACATCTAGGCTAATTGTTGTTTACCAGAGTGGATACTGGACATTGGATACGCGAAGCAAACCTGGATATTTTTAACGCATGAAATGATTAAACCAGCGCGAAACTTAACTAGCCGAAAGTAACCACCGGTCATTTAATTAGCACTGCTCAAAGGATTTCATTGTGAAACATGTAATTCACTCGTCTGATCGAGCTTGTAGCTCAAATATTTAAACAAAGAATGCGTTTCAGCGAATCTCCAGTCACAGTTTATAAATGGCGACTTGAAAGGCAAGTACAGTTAACTCCCATCCACTACGTTTGCTGAAGCACAAGCAAAAGTATGTGCTTCGACCTTCAGTCAAAATTTACCAAACCAGACAAAACCCTGAGACGGTTGGCTGACTGAATTTTTAAATGAAAATCGGTGTCTGAGAGTTCCGCAATGTAACTCTGAATTTTTAAATACTTCAGGAGTTTAACTAGTCGAAAGCATCTCACATAGTGAGGATTGATCTGTGGTGAAATGTCTCTTGGCTAGGTACTAGGGTGAATTCAGGCATGTTCATTTGTGGTATCGATTTAATTTCAGGCTCGGAAATCCACATAAGTTAATGAGCGATGCCAATAGAAAGGAATATTAGTTTCTGAAAACTGGTTCTGGGTTATAGAGACATATTTTTTTCTAATTGTTGAGTGAATAGACGGTCACATGCGCCATGGCCTGTCTTATCTTAGTTCTCCACTTGTTACAGTTTAGTAACTAGCAGGGTTGTAAAGTAGTGCAGGCGACACTAAAGATTCCGAAATTCCCAGGGCCGAAGCGCAGAATTTAGAAATGACAACTGCTGGGTTTTAATTGGACGCCTTTTATTTCACCTGTGTGGCCTTAACAACAAAACACATGACCACCTTCAAGGTCACGAATCGTTCACTCCACTCCTACATGGTAAAATCATTGCTGCCTGGCTTCTTGATGTGACCGTGCTGCTCTTGGGATTGGTGATGTGGCGGACAAAATTTTCCACGAATGGCGATATTCATTTTACTCCCACCACAGAATTGGCAGGCGTATCAAACGACCTAGCGTTACCCGGGAACACGGCGCAGACAGTTGGTTTGTGCATGGCTGTGCGTCGAATTTTATGTATTGGAATTTGCGCATGGGCTCTTAACGCAGCATCTACGCATGCCGGCTCGTTTTAAAGACAAAATACAACACTGCCTGAACTGAAGACCTCACAGACGATTCCAGTTCCACCGATTCGACGGAGAGAGATGACGAAACTAACCAGATCTACAGAAGGGCATGTGGCGACCAGCGAGCGAACACAATTAGCAAGTGTGAACGAGTACGATTCGGGCGATTTACTTGAATGTACGTCACTTTGCGATGTTCGTTCAGAGATCGATTTTAACCGGTCCTGTGTAAACTAACGACTGGTTATCTTGCCCTACCGCGCGATTATCTACAGTCTCCTCTCTCCCTCTCGGTTGGGCCTTGTCAGTGTAGGTCGGCTGGCCCCTGTTTGGTTTTCAAACCTCACCGGCGCTGCAGCAGGTGTGTTGGGTCTAAATACCACTTGATCACAAGAATCGCACATTAAATCACATATACATGCAAGCGATCACCCAAATATATGATCTTGGCGTGTAACGCGGAGCCAAAATCGAAAGAGAGGAGTTGCAATCAATGTGCGGGGGGTAAAGAACTGACCGTCGGCAAACGCTTACCATGGAAGTACAGAAGAGATTGGCCTTGAAGTCGGTTCCAAGGGCAACAGGCACACCGGCCTGCGCTATGGCAACGGCCGGAGGGGGTCGTCGACGGAGCAGAAGGGTCGTGGCAGGGAGGAGGACGGCGGCGGTGCGAGAGGCGGTGAGAGCCGCGACACCTGCTGGTGACACCTCGTCCAGGTGACTCACTGCCCGTGCCTTCAGCGACGCAGCGAGCTACGCAAAGATGGCATTGAGCAAAAATGCCCCAAGTTAGCCTGGTTTGTGTTTCCCAAATATTCGGGTATTTTGTCTGGCTGCAGCTTATTTACGGCTGGTTGAGGCAACCAATCACGCCCAACTTACATGCCGTTTCTGAAAACAAACGCAAGGGGGGACATTCTAGGACCACGTAATCAGACAAATTCCTTTGCTTTTAACACGGACACAGCTCGATACCAACACATACCTCAAAACCCAGACACATGAAGCAGTTGGTAGATAATTCATGCAAATATGCATTGTTAAAAAGGTTTTCAGAAACTCTTGACTTAAATATTCCCTTTGAGGTTTTGAGGAAAAATTGGACGGTAGGCCAAGCCAGAAAGAGTTACGTCTCCTGTCAAATGGTCAGAAAATACAACTTTACGTATATCGCATCGAAGTTTCGTGCCAAAGCATGATGGCAAAATGACGTTGAGGGAAGACGTTTCAGCCAGTGAGCAGATTTTACCAGATAATTAATGAAACCCCAGATAAGGTCGCCAGCTTGTGTAGGAATTTGACACGTCTAAGGACTTCAACCATATATCGCATACGTGATGTCTCAATTTATCGCCTAAAAAGGGTGTAGTGTGAATCAAACTGGTTGTTTAAGATGGCTTTTAATATATTAAAGCTAGACCAGGCACCAATATGCTGGCACCACGTCAAAATTTCCGGTTACAAAGCAAGCGCACAAAGAAGAGAGTTGCTCCATTAACTTCTCGTCCATTGTGGCGTTGTATACTAACGGGAATTAACAGCGCCATGTATGCGTAAAGCTGTATTTTTGCCGCTACAGAGAACAGTAAACGATTCAATTCAGCCATAATTTTAGCAAAGAAGAATTTGTCCTTAAAGAATGGAGCATGTTTGGACATCACCAACCAAAGTCTAATGTGGACATCTCAACCGCTGACAACAGCACCCTTTGCAAAAGAACGTGTTGGAGTTTAAATGCACCGAACATAGGACATCTGGAACTCCAATTGGAGTCACTTTCGACACTGAAATACGACAGCCCGGAATTGAAGTCATTCAAGCATCCTTCAACATGCGACTAGGCTAAAGCCGCAAGAACCTGTGGCTGTTCAGACGAATACAGTCTTTCCATAGTGGTTGATTGAGCCAGAAAGTTTGTCATGCGCGAAGTAGAGACGCCTGACGAAAGTGAAAATGTTGGCTGTAAAGAGTGGCAAAGTGTGCCCTAGGGGTTGGGCTGCATGCACACTTTTAAGGCCATTCAAAATTGTGATCTGTTCCGTTAAAAAAAAACTAGGCGTGCTGCAACCAGTCGACGTAATGGCGAATTTCATTAAAACGGTGCGATCGCAAGCTGCCTTACACGCGGTTCACTTTGAAGGCACATTACTGCAGCCGCGTGTCCTCGTGTGCCCGAGTTTCTATGACCCTCAACGCTGATGCCGCTGATGCCCTTACAAAGTGTTCGAGTGTTAAAATTCGCGCCTCGTGTTCCACAAATCAGGGTCTGGAAAAGCCCAATGTTGTTCGATTGCTTGGTTTGGCACGTTTTACCGGTCTGATGGCACTTACAGTGCGATCGTCGTTAAACAAAAGGGTTGTTGGCGTGCTGGTTCACTATCCGTGCTCTAGCTAACAAAAATGACACTAAAAGTCGAAGTAGTGCTGATCCAAATGGAGAGAATTAACAAGAATGTGTTGAGTTCACGTGAACACGTGACTACCAAGTTTGGGGTTCGTGTGGGTTTCTCTTCCGTGGTTATTAGTTTTACAGATGAAAAACACATTTCCAGTCAATAAGTACGTTTGATAAAGATTAATTAAACTGTAGTAGAGTGTAAAAGAATGCTTCTTTTATTTAAAAAACTGGTAAGACAATGGGCTAATAAGTTAACCCAGACCGCTGCTATAATCGCAACAATGATTGGCCAGGTATTTTGCCTGCTGATGTAGCATTTGTTATATGTAAAAAAGATTAGACGTTTCACCATGCAACTATGAACGCAAAAGGCTCTCACAGACAGACACGTTAGAATAAAACTTGTCAAATTAAAATGCCGAATGCAGAACATTGGCAATGAGCGCTGGGGAATGTGAGACTGATTAAACTAGTTTGTTGCAGGGGTAACTAAATTTTCTCGATTCCCAACTCTACCCAACTCCAGCAAAATATAATTAAACTAATGATCAAGCGAGTAGGAAAAAATTACTTCTACCCCGGTGGCAACGGTGGCAGTGTTGTGAATCGCTTTGATTTACACTTGTTAATCCGGTCGCTCCAGCCTCTGACACAGGGGCCCTCTTTTCGCAGCATGTCGCCAGCCGCGCGGATCCTCAACTCCCCCCTCATTAGCACAAACTTTTATTCTGGAGTATCCTCACACCTAAGTCTCGATGTTAGCACATGTACGATTCGCGCATCCACACCTACACACGCGCACACGCCACACACAATACAACGATACCAACTTGGTTGAGCTCTGAAGTAATTTAAAGCAATGAAATAATGAGATTTCGCTTTCGTCTGAAGTTTGAAAAGCCCTCGAAGGTAAGTCACTTGACTACACTTATTTAAAACCACACGAAACGGGAAGGCGTAGGTTTGATGCATTACAGAACCAAGTTGATCTGATTGGCATCGTTCACCACACCCTGTCTTCCAGACTCTCAGGGCTCGGATCCAGGATTTTAAATGACAGAGAACGCAAAATTTCTGTCATTACTTCGATGCGTCCATTTTGAAAATGACGGTGGCTAAGCAAACCGCCAGGAGAAGATCAGGTATTAAGGACGGGGACATGAACTCACATCCGCTGCTGACCCGTTTGAGAAGTTCTCAGCGTGGAAGTTCAGCTTCAAACCCATGTCCATTGCCTTCGCGAGTATCCGCCTTGATTGATCAATGGTGAAGAACCCTGAATGAAATGGAGTGTAAGTCTTAGCGCCACAGTTTTGTGGTCACATTGCCTCACCTACGGGCATTAATTGCATGATATTGTAAGAATTTACCTGTAACTTTTAAAGCAGAGCAAACTCACACCCACTTTTTATGCATATTTTGAACGTCTTTTGCGCATTAGTCTCGTCGTGTCCGAAAATATCCAGAGCTTTCTGACGTTTGAAGTTTTAAATAGCAACCTGATGTCAATTATGCAACAAATACATTCCCTGAGGCTCGTTTTATCTAATAGACGGCTGTATTCGGTTGGAACAAAGAGATCAAACCTCTACACACCTGGTCGCACCTGTTCCAGAAAGGGACCACGAATTACCTGGAGCATGTTATTAGCCTGTTGCGGAAGCCAGTCCGTTTACACAATTCTCTTCATTTATTAACATTATCGCACTGTCCACTCCCCACTACTGACAGCCCCATCGCGTCTCTCCAACCTAAAGGACCTCAACTGAGGTTAAGGCCACCCAAGACACATTTGATTGGACACGTTATTTGGCCTTGGGTTGAGACATTAAAAACTTTTTACGCAGGGTCTTGTCTTTGTTCCGCTATTGGCAAGATGGACCTGTGTTGAACAATGCATTTGCGAACCGGCTTTGTGGATGTGGGATTTTGAATGCTGACAAAATTTTAGCTCTCCCACTTGAAGCCATCATAGTAATGAGGATAAATTTAGTTGTAATAGTGCACAATAGAATATCCGAACTATTTTAGGGTATGTGATTAGTCATGCAATGGTAATGAAAGCAAAAATGGTTCAAAAACTATCAAGGAATTAGTGTGCTGTGGGTTGGAAGACAATTTACAGTATTGAGATTGCATTTGTGAATTAACTAACGGTTTTAACTGCAAGATGAAACGAGTACAGTACCTTTTACTTGTAGATGTGATTTATTATGATCTTAAGCTCGAATTAGCAGTGCCTACTTAGAAAACGACAAACGGTAACATCAAAATTTGCATTTGATCGCAATCATTACAAAACGAATGCTGTGTTGGCTTAAATTGAGTTTGTTACCAGGCCACTCATTCAAGATTCATCAAACTGTAGAGAAATGCAGTGTTCTAAAAAACCTGAGCACGGTTAAACGAACAAACCACATGGGTTCCTGCTTAACCTTCAATCAAGAGCTAAATCCGGTGTGTGATTTTGTCGTTAAAAAACCGATTTATTTTACACGGGTTTCTTTTTATTCATGTAACCCAAATTATAAAACAGCACGTTTTAACGCAAGAAAAAGCACCGTTACCCACACCGAAATCTGATCTCCACTCCATAAAACTGTGTTTGTTTGTTTGGATTAATCCACTAAGAGATTTCGAATCGCAGTAACACCAAAAATAGCGGTTATAAATGTGTCCTGGTTAAACGACTCGGCGTTATTTGGCCTTGGAATTGGTCAAAAATGAAGATCTGCGGTTGGGTCGCGGAATACTCAAAATTGCACGTCAAAAATGAAAAAAATAGGCTCAGAAATTTTGCAAAACCCATCAAATTTTACAGATCTTGCCCTGTTGGATGGCCATATTATCAGATCGGTGGGGTTTATTCCGTGTAAACTAATGCTATTCAACCGCGACAGCCATCGAAATTGGACTTAAGGCACATTTTACCACAGAAATACCGCAATTTTAGAAGAAGCAAGACGACAATTTACTAGAGGGGTAACCGAAGATCACCATTAGCATTACCCTGTACTGCATTTTATGCAAGCGCCGTAATGACAATGACCTCCAATGCCAAATCATTTACATGTAAAGAACATCTCGAGATGATAGCTTCGATAGACAATTCACACACCTATCCGCCATGGGAATGAATAAATAATGGTACATTTTAGAATCTAATTAAATTGATGGCTCAAATTTGTGAGCATAATTGAAATGTACAATGGTCCTTATTTCTTACCGTCGGCACACCTCACGTCGATATTGTCCACTTCAATTTCCCCATTTTCAATTGAGCTTTGAAGATCAGGTAGTCTTCTCTGCACCACGTCTTCGACAATTTCGTCAGGAGACGCATTTCTGTTAATTTTGAAAAAAAACATTAAATCAATATAGTTTAACCACTAGGATAAACGGTAGCTCGCTAGTCGTCAGACATGACTGTAGTCTTGAATTCGACTTAGGTCGATTCACTGAACCCAGTTGGATAAGGTTCCAAATGCAGCCGAATCACTTCTGAAAGTTAAATGGGCATTTAACTCTAGGAATTGTATTAATATCTGATGTTTAATCAGCATTTCGTGAAAAAAATAACATTATCCATTGTGTCCACACCCATCGTAGAAGCAGTTTATCAGCGTTAGTTGAGAAGCAGAAAAAGTTGCTGAATAAATCACGCTTTAAATTCAATTGTTTGGGACAACTGCGCATCTACAGTAGACACGCTAAACCAGTACAGAAAAATTGATCAACTAATCAGACAAATGCACACGGCTTGGTGAATTCTGTCCTCAACAAACCTGACTTCAAAGGTGATCTCGGTAGCCAATCAGAGCACGCCTTGTCACTAATAATGCTATTGATTGATGCGGTACCCACTCGGCCAATGGGGTGTCAGAAGTCGGATGTTCTTGCAGGAGATTTATCGACAATCCGTAATCGCAATTGTAAAAGTTCATTTAGGAAAGCATCATTGGAGTGTAGTTCATTTTGGGCTTAATACGGACACGAGAAGTGCCTTGCTGCCTGTGGTGACTTTGCTTGGACCTTAAAAACAAACGAGTCAGATTTTATGCCAAAAAATTCACGGTTATTTTTCAAAATCATTCTTCCCCAATCTCATTTGCAGTGTAAACATTCTTGATTGACTCTGAAGCCAAAAAAACGTCGCAGTTGCATTTTGTAACGTTTATTGCGTCAGCGCTTGACCACTTTCGCCAAACGGTTAGACGTTAGAATAAGTTGCTTATTCTAACGCAACACAGGAAAAAATTCACTTTGAACTCACTTTGACAGAACACTGGCGGCAAAGTAGGTTATAGAGATATCCAATGGAAGCTCGCGTTTTAATTTGGTAAGAATCCGCAGGATCTTTCTCTCCGTAGTCCAGCTAGAACTGTAGCCCGTTTTGCATTCGACCGCTGTTGTCCCCTTGCTTGTCATCGACTAAAGGGGAACAATTGTTACAAGCCTGAATAAGTGGGATGAAAAGTGGGTTTCCGTGAGTCCAATTTTGACGGTGATGCTTAGCCCGCACATGAAAGGGCACAAACAGATTTCAGTTAATTTGCAAGGCGTACTACTTAAGGTCGACAATAGTCAAACATAAAAGCAGGGATCAGAATGCCAGTAGCCTTGGATAAGGGGCATTAACAGTGAAGTTGACAACTGCTGGCTTAGGGTGTGGCTTCAAAAACATTTTTATGACCTATGCCGGTATCAAATGTTCATTCGCGTGTCACGGCGATGTTCCAGATTTCCTTTCACCAGTCTCATGGGAATTACAAAATGCTAATCCTTTTGGCACTCGAGATAGTCAACTACAACTGCAGTTTTCCGTTTCGTTGACTGCAGAATAGGACTTAATGATTTAGTGGAGAAAGTTGGCAATCGGAATTGGACGATTTGGTCACAACCGCCGCGGTCTGTGTCACGCAAAGTTATAAAAAATGACGAGGCGTTTTTCAAGGGATGTTTGGTAATTGCTTGGACAAGCGCTTCAGACTGAGAAACTTTAGTTTCCGAAAATTGAATCGCCTTAAAGCTGCGTCGGCAGAACCAGACTTTTAGGGCAACAGAGTACATACCTTGAGATGAACGTCCCATTTAGGGTGTGGCCACGGTGATATCGGGATGGTGTCTTTTAAACGTGCTTGAATATAGCCGCTTTTTGGTTTTTCGTCCGAAAATTTACCAACCACAATTATGACAAAAAATGCCTTTACTACTGTTTAGGCTCATATGTGACATCAATTCTAACCTGAGGACGATGCGTCTGCATTGACTACCTTTTTCGACCACTATAAGCACCCACATTTCACAACCCCCTTTTCGTTTAGTAAGAATTTTTGTCCAAGTTGAAGCATCACACCATTGTTTGGTTAAGTATTTCTATGGCAACTCAGTTAAGTGTGTAGCTTTGTTTGTGAACTGAATTCAGACAACCGGCTGACAATACTCTACCCCTGAATGAGATGGTGCTGCGCCGTGATTAAAAGGTCAAGATTTTTTAATTTTCGCGAAGATGAAGCGCCAATAAATCACTAGAGAGCAGTCTGTATTACTCGGATGATTACGAGGTTTGTCGATTTATTGCCTGCATTGCTTCTGTCATGGAAACCATTTAGCCTGGTAATAAATACAAAAAAGTATCCAAGTGATTGGCGTGTCACCCAGTATGCAGGCTTTTGCAGTCGTCACTTGACAGCGGCGGTAGCGGTAGATGTCGTGTTCTCAATGCCAACAATGCACAACTCTCCTGAAATCTAATCCTTACTGCTGACTTTCGAAAGGGTTCTCATTGGAGGTTTGGGCAAATTACCTCCACAATTAACAATGACGAAGAGACGCATTTTAAGTGCACAAGTCACTACCACCAATACACTACTTGTATGTGTGGGTGTTTGTCAAAAACATGGACAAAGACCCGGGAGGAGTTCTTCTTACCAATCAAAAGCCAATATATATTAGTGTTCAAGGTTAAGAAGACCTTGCTAAGAGAACATTTTTTGACTATCATGAATGCTAATAAAAAAACTGATTGGTGTTCTCCTTTTGAATTCAAATCTTCCTTTAGAAGCAGGACAACAAATATCTCAGGAAACAGACTGCACTTTGAAACATCAGAAATTGGTCAAGGCATAAATTGTAGTGTCTCCTATTGAAGTCGATGGTTGAAAACTTCTAAACAATGCGATGTGTTGAGACAATTGGGTTCCCGTGTTATTTGGGTGTCTTGTGTCTGCTAAAGTTACCTATTATTTCATTTTTCGGAAAAATGAAGTAACAAGCTAGTTAGGCTCGTGCATCGCTTTATGGAATATTGTTACATGTTGAGCTATTTGGAACCAACAACCTCTTAAATGCATGAATGAAGAAAGGCATTATCATTTGACAGCATTATTCAATGTCCCCACTCACTCACTCACTCACTTTTTGATAAAGGAAACTTCTTTGGATTTTTGATGAAAAATTCAATTCGGGGAAATGACATCTGATGGTCAGTTAGGAATGCTGTGGTTGTTTTAACTGACCTCAATCGTGATTTAAAAATGAAGTGAAGTCACCTTGCTCGGTTGATTTCGACCTATGCTACCCCCGCTGTCAGGTGATTGGACACCACCATGTCAAAAACAGGAGCAGATTATAGCGCTCATTTGCGAATTTAGGCAGTGGAAAATGTCCTGCATTTAGTACACGAAAGGAGTGCCTAGATGTTTGGGAGTATGGGTGAACAGCCCCTTCTCTCTTCATGCGGTAATGTTATAAGGGACTTGAACTAGCGCCTTTTAATGACATACTCATTAAATGCATGCAAAATATGGACTATGAGTGACACCAGTGTTTGCATTTGAATTGTATACTGTGATCCGAAATTGAAAGAACGGAATTTTTTAGAAATAAATTTATAAGGAATCATGAGTAAGCGCAAAATCCAGGAATCAAATTAATTAAATACCATCTAATGGTGAAATTCTCAATATAAACATCCCATAGTGTGGGCTTATGGTTTTTAACGTGGATATCTCTAACAGAGAACATAAAAACATGAATTTTTTTTAAAAAAATAGTTGGTCTGGCTATTGAAATAAACTTGCAAAAAAGTTAAAGTTTGAGAATTCTACTAGCTTATTTGACCACAGTGACTTTTGCTACTAAACTACTGTAAATTAGTAATATTTACGTTCAATTATTTAAAATAAAGCCAGTCTATGCAACAGCGCCGATGTAGTCATAGTTATTGTTTAAATTGATAACCTTCAACGTATTGACCTTGACTTGCTTAAGTAATCTGTCAACGCAGACTCATGTAACACTGATGAAACAGTGGTGAAAGAGACAGGCACAGACATTGACACGAAATGCCTACTTTAATTCTTTTAAGGGCAGCCGCGTAGAGAACCTCCTCGCTCGAATTGGCTGTCTGCTCCACTGTGTAGTCGGTGTTGGAGCTGTTCACGTTGTCCGTGAGTTCCATGTACGAGGCGCCGGCGACCCTTTGGATGAAGTCGTCCACTCGTTCACCGCCCCACACTGGATAGGTGTGTGCATCGGTGAAGCCTAAATAGAAATGAGTGTGTTTGAGATTAACTTCTTTTTAAAAAAGAAATTCAACATGCTTTATAGTACCTCTCAAGGGATGCCGTTGGAAATGTACATCTCGGGCACCAATTATTCAATTACATATCACTATTATTAATTATGCGAGATTTCAAGTCGTAAAAACCCGAGTTTAGAATCAAATTTATGACACTAGAAGGCACTAATAGCATGCGTAATATCACAGAGGTAGTTGTACGACAAAGATTTCCAAAAATGTGCAGTGCCTTGACAAATGATTGATTTGTGATGGTTCAGTGTTGCCGTTTTCCCATGGGAAATAGGCCTCCGTGAATAAATCATGCTTTCTTGACCATATTCTTAAGGCTTATTAAAGTTCACCTCGCGAAAACAGAGGGCAGAAAACTGGGTTAAGGGAATTTAAAGGCAGCATTCATAATGACATTGTGCCTACTAACAAGACGGTCAGCACAGACCACGGAACCGAATGAATGTAACGACTCGACGAAACGATAAAGAAAACGCAACGTCATCGAAACAGGGCCTTCATTTAGCAACTCAATAATGTCTGCCTAAACAATGACTGCGACAAAAGCAGGAATGTAAACTCTTAACTGGGAGTTCCCGAAACATGTCTCTGATTTAGGTACATCAGATTACCGTGTTTCCGCTTCCTACCGATGCTGAACTGTGGAAAATCGTTGGACTAAGGCTTCGAGTCAACCTCTGGAGGTCCTCATTGCAAAGAAATCATAAAACAAGTTTACATTTGTCAAACTTACATGCTTTCAACGATTATGATCAGATTTAATGAAACCGCAATGAATAATTCTTTTGTTCTCTCAGTTATTGGAATGGCCACTATACCAATTTGGAGGGTAATTTTCGGAAAGTGTGGGGTGCAAATCAGAATAAATTTGAATTCTCTCAAGAAAGACGTTTGATTAAACACTCAGACATCGTAGCTGTGCAAATGCAAACTAAGATTAACTATCGTCGGCGGTAGGACCACATACCTCATGCACACACGCACACACACACGCAAATGTTTACCTAACACACAAAAATAGCACCGACCGGAATCGTCAGACAAATACAAGAATGCAGAGGTGCTTTTTTAGTCTCAAACTCTTTTATGGCAATTCAGTTAGAGTATTCGTGATCTTTGTAGTGGGTCAGCTGTGCAATCTTTGCCTATAAAAGGAAATTATGTATAAAAATCAGCTGATTTTTGCTAGTGCCTTAGAGAACATCAATCAAAATTTGTTTTGAAAAACGGAAATGCGTGAGCATTCAACTAATATATCAACTTTGAAAAACTGACTCTGAATCAGATAAAACACGAACTGGTTTGACAGAGCACCAATTTCTTCAAGGTTGCCTGAAACTAAGTGAAGTATTGCGCAAATTTTAACCAGACCCGCATTTTTTTTCACTCTTTGGCGATTGGCTGTTTTGTGTCTCGGATCCTCTCAGGTTTAACTTTTGTAACAAAACATCCCATTCGCCTAGTCTGCCCTTTTTTAAACAAAGCTAAAAACGGCCTATAATTTGGTGGTGGTGCGTGTGTCTGTGAAATTAGAGTACCCTTGAAAAAATCTCGTGATTGAAGAGCCTGACTGTCGAATAGATTAGCGAAAACCTGCAATTTCGCTTTTAAAGTATTAAGCGAGTGTTTCGGTCAGCCGAAAATTACAGCAATCATTGTGACCAGCAGACAAATCCTGCTCAGAAAGAAGCGTTGAAATCTTAACCTTCGAAATATGCATTGACATTTCATTTGAAGGTCAAGGGAAACGTTTTTAAATTCTGACCTTGAAACCAACTAGTTACGTAGTTGATTTAAACGACAATCGCAGCCCGATGCTGGCGCGGACGAGAATTACGCGTGTGGTTATGGAAGCTGGATGTGGCGATGATTTGGTTTCCATTTTGCCTAAACCGGTTAACTTTCGTGACTGTTAACTGCGGGTGTGACCTACAAGACCACCAAGCGAGCAGGCTTAATCCTGTTGACATTGAACAATCGGGGCGAAGTAAGGATGAAGGTTAAAAGGATTTGTGATGCCAGGTTGGGTCAACTTCGGCATCACATGACATATTGCGCCCCTAACCAACACCCACAGGTCGTTGTGGTGGTGACTTTTTAATGTTCCAAGCAACGAATCTTCAAGAATGGATGCATTCCATCACCTTTTTGCAAAAGTTGCTTCGATTCTTCGCGAAATTCCGCAGACACCACCGTTCGCAATAGCTAAAGTAAAATTTGGGTTGAAATTACACGCCAACGACGGTTCCTGGTGTTGTTTGCCGCTGTAAGTGCGCTTCGTTTGCGGTCATCATCGGGCTACGTGTTGATACTGAATGCATTAGCAGGGGGGGGGCAAGAGAGTTGGGATGAATCATCGGGCAAAACGACCAGTCCTTTGGGACGCAGCCCGCGTCTTAATTAAAACAATTAACATATGATCTCTCGGCCTGGGTCACAGGCAAATCCAGTTGGAGAAAGAGTTTTCTGCAGCCTAGACGATTTGACCAGGGTAACATGCCTCTGTGGTTCAAGGTGGGTGAACATAACAGGTTTACCAAAAAAACAGTCAGTGGTACGTTGAAACATGGTGATTCCAAATATGGGGGCTCGATTGTGGTCCACAAACCTCCACTCTGGTTAGGCGTTTAACGGGCTGTATTGACGATGTGCTGAAGGTCCATGCAAAACACACGCACACAAAACCCAACAGCTGACATTTAACTGCCTACTATTACATCAAAAACCCACGAGTTCAGGAAATGGGTGGTGAAAACATGCCTGGCGGAGCGTCAACAAGCAGATTCTTGTCTTTTAGAGCAGAAATCACTTTTGAAAAACACATGAAGTCACCATAATTCGATCATAGTACTTGAAGGTGGGATTTAGCATTGCCATGTAATTATAAGTGGAATTCTAGCGGTTACAGAAAGTTTTGCTAAAACCTGATTTACTGTCTTATCTGAGCACTGCAAAATGCGTTGAATGGACGAGACGAACAAAGACTTACCTCAAGTGGTAAACAACTGCTGATTTATCTAAGTCCATCCTGCTACAATTTGCCCATAGATAAAGTCGACTAGTTAGAAGATTTTACTTGCATATGGAAGTGTTTCACAGAAACCACTATTTGAAACACTCGTTTTCTTGCGCTTTAGTAAGAAAGTAAAATGTGGACAGGAAATTTTGAGACAAATGACCAAATTCCACGAGACGTGAAACGCGATGTTTAACTTCCGGTGGCCTTAAAGATCAAAGCAAACGCTATCAGCAGCAATTAGAGCCACTGATTTTGGCCGTAAAGGCGCTAAGTGGCCATTTCAGTGGGGGATAATTTCATCGCCATTAGCCTTCACCGAAAATTCTTTTCACTGAGCCTAATTCAGTGTTCACTGCTTCTGCTTTTAGGAAAAACTTAATGCCGTTAGTGAAGCGGTCGTGTTGAATGTGGGCCACACCCACGTCCATGTCACGTAAGAATTAATGCACTGGGTTACTTTCATCACTCACAATCCCAATGATCATTTAAGTGCTGATTACGGAATATGGTTGGATAATTAGCCAAATTAAATGGGTTATATATACGGCACCAAGGTACAACAGTAACAGTAATAAAAACATCGCAGACGAATTGAATTTTGTCAGGAGCAGTAAGCCTTTTTAAATTTATCCCGGCCTAAAGGACTAGAGCCCAGAAATTATGTGATCTGACGTACCGGGTAGAATGGTGCCGCCCTTGCAATCGATTACGTTGTCGTACTCGTAGTTTGTGCATATAACCACATCCTCCAAACCGTAGGATAATATAGTTCCACCGCTAAAATCGTCACACAGAAAAAGGTAAATACTGTGGTATTTCAACTCGTTCAAGCAGAAACTGAAAAAAAAGCTCACTTAAATGTATTAATCACGTTTCGTTGAGCGCGAATTTAAATACATAACAGCCGGAGTTAGAGCGTCGTGTTGCGTTTCGCATAGTGCCTATAATTAGGATTTTCACGATGTCGTCTGAGTTTTTTGTCGTGTTATGCCCATTCCACCATCGATCCCTTTCTCATTCACGAGGTTTTTACCTCTGGTTTCCCCACTAGTCAAAGTCTTCGGTGGAGTTTCTGAAGTGTTCGGAGTTATTACGGACATAAAAATCTTGACTTTAAGTTGGGCATTTGCCATTGCAAACGTCCCCCATGTCAGGCGAGATGATGGTACTGGATAAAAAATAATCTCCAGATATGAAGAAGAAGGTATAGATGCTCTCAGTATCCATCGATTCAAAGTAATGCCATGACAACAACTCCAACCGCTAATCTGCACCATTACACTCAAAAGCTGCACGTTGCAATATATGGAAATCGAAATTAAACCCACAATGCATTAGCACGTACATAGGCGGCACCTGTGTAGATGGTTGCTCAGCAACCGGTTGAGATGGGTGAATGTGACTTACCGACATTCAGTAGGCACCATGAAACTTCAAATCGTCAAAGTCACTCAGACACAAAACATTTGGGGAACATGTAAAAAGAATGACTTCGGGTGAATTTTTCATAGCTTAAACCACTGCGTGAAAAGACAAGGGGGAATAGGATATTTTAATTAGCTAAAATTAAGAATTGAGAAAGTGATAGCAATTCCATTTCTGACAGATAGATGGTACGAAGACTCAAATTTTCATACATCAGTGGCCAATCCTCACGACCACATTTGTGCTAATTTTAAATCCCTACCTTCACAACTTACGAGGTTTCCACACCTGTTGTTATCAAACAAGGTGGTGTTACAGTACCTTGTGGCGTGTAACCGTGACGAAAAAAAACAAAATCATGCAGTTTTCCATGAAAAATGTACACCGCACGTACCAGGCAACGTAAAACAAAGATTCTTCAAGGTACAAGCTTTGAAGACAACGGTCTCGTGCACAAATGAAAACGAGACTAGCATTGAATTTTGACGTCAGCATGATTGCCCCTGGTAGATAGTCTAATAGCATGTCTACGTCAAAGTATCGAGGCATTATTTGTATCGGTTAATACAACATGACTAGACAGTTGTCTCAACAGTGGGAAAGGTTCCTAGCAGAAGTAGGCGAATTGTGCCATCCGCAGGAGCGAGTTGTAGGCGAGAAGCAGCACTGGATGACTATCGATGAATTACGTCACATTCACGACCACACGCTCACCCGAAATCTGCAGAGATCAGCCTGAATTAACTCTCTGCTGACATTAAATTACGCTAGCTCTGTCCCACGTGCTCAACTAGACGCTGGAATCAAATCTTTTGTGTGATGTAATGCGATTTGTGTGCGCTTCCATCGAGTTAAATTCGCCTAAGATGGCAGTTGTGCTAGACAATCGCACAAGATGGAATAGTAATGAGCCTAAAGCTGAAAAGACAATCCATTGTCCATTGTCTAATACGAATAAAAGAAAACATCCACAACACCCGCTGAAAGTTGACGAATTCTTCATGTCGACAAGTACATGAGAGCATCAGTTATGGACAATAGATTTGTTTTGCATGATTAACTGAAAACACATATTATCTGCAGAAGTTGAATAAATTGAATCAAGCATTTTTAGCTGGACTTTGAGCTTGGTGCTGTGTGCGGCAGTTGCCTAATCAACCAAAATCTCGACATCTTTCGGCATAAGCGACCTCTTACCCTTTAGAAATGGTTTTCACCGTATCTCTTGCACTAGAATTTTCCTGAGTTAGGTGAGGCTACCATGGTTTACACAACTTTATTTATGCTGACCGACATCACAAATGTCACATCACAATCTGTCAGCTATTTTGTCTACCACCTTAAATGAGGACCACAGGAAATCAGTTATTAGTGGCCCAATTTACTTGGCTTAGACCAATTTGCGTACGTGGGTTTGGCATGATGGTTGACTTAGAGTTTTTCACACGCAATATCAGAGCCAATAAAAACACATGTTTGCACACATTTTCCCAGTTACCTCGTAGGTGTGGAAATTATCCTGTTTTGCCAATTGCAACGGGAATGTGCAGCACGGCCACAACACACACTAGGTCAAAACTGGCCACTTGAACACAAAACATTTCACAAACATCTTGCAAGCATACTCCGCATTTACAATCAGCGGCTTATAAATTACCGCAGTAGCAAAGGCAGTTGTCGAAATATGTTGCGAATGAGAAAGTCACCAAGATGTAGCACACTATGTCGCTGTTCCGTAAGCAGACCAATTCAGCTAAGAACACGAAGCTGCCGACGCATGTTTTACTCATTAAATCCATTGTAAACAATCTGTAGTCACACTACCCAATAACTCATGATGAATGCAGGTAAGATTAGGTTTCATTCTGTGGAATGAAGGCACCAGCTGTTAACACCTTCGAGGTTGACTGGAGACGTGTGAGGCAAGTGCCGATTTTCACATTTGTGCTTTCCTTTCACCACCAGTGCGTTGCGAATTAATTTTAACCACGATAGATATCTCCTGGAACGATCGTGCAGGAAATGCTGAAAACAATTGTTAAATGCCCCTCCTGGTTGTCTCTGCTGACTGGTGTGAGTGTCGTTGACATTCTGACAAACAACCGAGTGGATTCAGAAAGAAGGCTTAATTGAAATGGGTAGGCAGCGAAACAAGCACCAGGGAGATGAGGCGGCAGGATGGTCTTATTTGCAACTTACTGTCATGTGTGTGGAATAGTTAGGCGTACCAATGCGCCCACAAGGGCGTGCACCACTACGTCTCCCAAGTATGCTAAATGTTCCGTTTCATTGTTGTTGTTATATTCATGCACAAGCAACTCAACTCAATTCTGGTATGCCTGCGGCAAATGGACTGCGTTCGGCCTTGAAGCATCTCAGTTATTGCCATGGCAGTTATCACAGTCGTCCTATCAGTAAACACGCGTTTTAGTATTTAAATTTCACAAATTCGCCGGGAATGACATCTTTAAGTCAGCCATGCACGTCCTCTTGTGGCCGTCACGGTCAATGATGAGGTCGAGATAGTTTTCTGCGTTCACACACACCCACACACCCACACACACTCTGACCTGACCGCAGCTTGAGTGTGCATTCTCCGTGTGCTTGCGCATACAAAGCACGTCGATGTAAGTAGGGCTGAACGTGATCATGTGATCTTGAAACTGGGACAAATGCAAGCACTTCCCTCTCTCGCCCTACTCTGAGTCCAATTAATTCAACTTCCATCAGTCCTTGCAATTTAGTGTGCTCTCATTACCTCAGGTCGCCGACGGGAAGTGTTTTGAGTTCTGAAGACAAATTTGTAAGAACCACACTGTCACAAACACATCTCGATTGAATTAGTGGGCTGGAACAATAAAAGCATCTATCCTAACAAGAATTGTTGTAAAATTTGCTTGCAACTGGGAAATCAAAACGTAATGCAGAGAGTGACATTTGAGGCAAGCACATGGATCTGCTGGTTTGTACTATTGTGCAGGAGGAGCAAGGTCCACGATGTCAAATTGTCTTGGAAAGTAATTTCCACACTAAACAGATTGGTGGACTTTATTCCC